AGTCTGATAAAATGGAAAACATAGAAGAAATGGACAGATTCCTAAATACATGTGAATTGCCAAAGTTAAATGAAGAAGATATAGACATTCTAAACACCCAATTACAGTGAGTGAAATTCAAAACATAATTAAAAATTTACCAACAAAGAAAAGCCCAGGTCCTGAAGGCTTCCCTGTTGAATTCTATTTTTTTTTTTTTCCTTCTGGTACCTGGAATCAAACTTGGGTCCTTGTGCATGCACAGCAAACAGCAAAAACACTGAGCTAAATCCCCTGCCTATTGCTGAATTCTACAAGACACTTAAAGAAGAACTATTGCCATTACTCTTTTAAGTCATCAATGAAATTGAAAGGGAAGCAATACTTCCAAATTCATTCCTGGAAGCAAGTGTTACTTTGATTCCAAAACCAGGGAAAGACCCAATAGGCCAATCTCCCTAGTGAATTTAGATGCAAAAGTCCTTAAGAAGACACTGGCAAACAGAATGCAGAAGATCGTACACCATGATCAAGTGAGATTCATCCCAGGGATGCAAGGATGGTTCAACATACACAAATCGATAAATGTAATACACTATATCAATAGAGCCAAGGACAAAAACCATATAATCATCTGAATAGAAGCAGAAAAAGCATTTGACAAAATCCAACATGCATTTTTGATAAAAACCCCATAAAAAATTGGAATACATGGTCTCTACCTCAATCTGATAAAAAACCAACAGCCAATATCATACTAAATGGTCAAAAACTGAACCCTTTTACACTAAAATCAGGAACAAGACAAGGATGTTCACTATCATCACTCCTGTTCAATAAAGTTTTGTAAACATTAGCCATGGCAATGAGACAAGAGAAAGAAACAAAAGGAATAAAGATAGGAAATGAGAAGTCAAATGATCATTATTTGCAGATAACATGATTATCTATATAGATGGCCCCAGGAACTCCACCAAAAGTCTTCTAGACTTAATAGCTAAATTCAGTAAAGTAGCTGGATACAAGGTCAACACACACAAATCAATAGCTTTCCCCTACATGAACAACAGACTCATTTAAAGAGAAATAGGGCAAACAATTCCTTTCACAATAGTATCCAAAAAACTGAAATACCTACGAGTCAACCTAACAAAAGAAATCAAAGACCTCTTCTCTGAAAACTATAGCACTCTGAATAGAGAGAATGAAGATGATATCAGTAAATGGAAAGACATCCCTTGCTCCTGGTTAGAAAGAATCAACATAGTGAAAATGACCATACTTCCAAAACTGCTTTATAGATTCAATGCAATCTCAATTGAAATTCCAGCAGCATACTTCATGGATCTTGAGAAAACAGTCCAAAAATTCCTTTGGAACAAGAAGAGACCTAGAATAGCAAAACCAATTCTGGGCAACAGAGATATGGCAGGGTGTATCACAACCCCCAAACTTTAAACTATACTACAAAGCTACTGTCATAAAACAGCATGGTACTGGCAAAGAAACAGACCTGAGGACCAG